ATCCAGATGTGGGGGCTCATGCCGAATCTTTAGTCTCTTGAGGAAGAAGAGGCGCTGTCGCGCCTTCTTCACTGTTTTGTTTGTGTGTACTGACCACGTAAGATCCTCAGCCAGATGTACTCCAAGGAACCGGAAGCTGCTCACTCAACAGCAGCGCCGTTGATGGTGATGGGGGTGTGTACTTCTCTGCACCTCCGGAAGTCCACTATCAACTCCTTTGTCTTTGCGACGTTGAAGGTGAGATGGTTGTCTTGACACCAGTGGGTCAGGGCGCTGACCTCCTCCCTGTAAGCCGTCTCATCACCGTTGGTGATAAGACCCACCACTGTAGTGTCGTCCGCAAACTTCACAATGATGTTGGAGTTGTTAGTGGCTGTGCAGTCGTAGGTGTAGAGTGAGTACAGGAGAGGGCTCAGTACACACCCCTGTGGAGCACCAGTGTTCAGTGTGATGGGAGATGAGGTGATGCTGCCCAGTCTGACCACTTGGCGTCTGTCAGACAGGAAGCTAAGGATCCAGCTGCAGAGCGGGAAAGGTTGTAGATGTGTGTAAACACTCCAGCCAGCTGAGCTGTGCATAACTTGAGGACACGGCCGGGGATCCCATCCAGACCAGTAGCTTTGCTTGCGTTCACCTGTCTGAAGCGTCTCCGCACATCCTCCTCAGACAGTGCGTGCACTGGTGTCATCCATGATGCGTACACTGTCCGGTCTCGTGTTGTTTGCTGTGTCGAATCTAGCGTAGAATAGTCTTAAAATCAACAACATAATGAGACGTGTTGCATCTTCTGTGGGGATACATCTCCATACCTGCACTGCTGACAGACCTTCAGCTGTACCTTGTTGTGGTGTCGCTCTGCCTTTGCTCTTTAGCAAGGGGACGTCATCTAACCTTTCAAGCTTTTTCTATCAAAATGCCATAAAAGTTACATCATTCTAAAAACTATTCTGTATATTAGAGGATGAACATGCTTATAACACTCAGACTCAGATACTAATGTTGTTGAACCTGTTAAAAATTTCAGTTTCAACTGTGCAATCATGCAACAGGCAGCAGCTGCACTGAAATGAAGCTTCCCTCAGTGACAGTGAGCTGCAGTGCTGCTTAAACTACATTTTGCCAAAGCCACAAAATTAGATTCTGCTGGAATATTTCATCAACTAAATCCTCATGGCTTTGAGACAGCTGAACGCGTTGTCAGTTTAGTCAGCAAATGATATTTTTAGCATTTTGTCATACTTTTGTTCCTCAAAAATATTGATAAATTAATGCTGGACACAAATCCCATCATCTCTTAATGAGGGAATCCTGAAGCTCTCGACTTTATCTAATAGGGTTCAGTAGATTACGTCTGCGTGCTTGTTGCTATATGTTTATTTCTTCCCATCCATGCTTAAACCCATAAACATTGTGAAATATAGTCAAAAGTCAGAATACGTAAGGCTAAATCTCAAAATGATGGCAGTCTGTAGAATCTTTGTTTTATTTTTCCACCTCTTAAACCAGGGGAGGAAGAGGACCACATCTTAACACTAGAGGGCAGCACGGAGCAGGAGATCGCTGCTTTGGAGTCAGTCCTAAAAATAACCCATCGTCATGGTGATGCAAATAGACAGCGTGTGTGTGTGTGTGTGTGTGTGTGTGTGTGTGTGTGTGTGTGTGTGTGTGTGTGTGTGTGTGTGTGTGTCTGACAACATGTAGCCGTGCAGTTGTTCCTCAATGAAAAGATCTATTCTTAGAAACGAGAGGAGATAATCAGCCCAGTCAGCAAGTCAGGCAGCCAGCTGATGATGACGATGCTTTCTGTTCAGATAGAGTTGGTTCACACCTGTAAATATCTGGGACTCTTAATTGACGACTCACCTTCAAACCACATGTAGAGAATCTTGTGAAAAACCTGAAGTTGAGTTTATTTTCAAAAGAAGTTGTGTTTCTCCTTTAATACAAAGAAGCGGCTGGTTGCTGCAGCATGTTTGCCTGTGCTGGATTATGCAGATATTCTATATATGAATGCTTCTGCTCAGTGTCTTTGAATGGTTCATACTGTGTATCCTTCTCTGAGGTTCATCACTAACCGTGAATCTCAGTATCTCGTATGCTCTCAGGTAGGACGGCCTGCTTTGGTAAGTCGGAGGAACTCAGTCTATATCTAAGGCGATACTTGGGTTGCTGCCTTCTTATCTATGTTCCCTGCTTGCAATGAAACATGCTGGTCGGTATTCTCTTCGTCCTGAATTCATTTCAATAAGTGCTTTTAAATCTAAACTACGAATCCTTGAGGCCATAACATGCAACTGTTTCAGTTAGACTGATTTATTTTAACTGATTTTTTATTTTTATTTGAACTTTATTGAATTTTACTGAATTTTATTTAATTTTTTCATTTATGTTTGCATGTGTGTTGTTGCTGCCTGTGTTTAATTGAGTCATTTCTGAGACAGCTGCTGCTGCCTATCTTGGCCAGAGGTTTTTAGTCTCAATGGCTCTTCCTGGTTAAATAAAGGTTAATGAATCTGTCTGTCTGTCCACATATATGGCAGAGAAAAACTGAGAAAGTGACATTAAATGAAAACATAGTTGGACAATTGTGTGCATCTGTGTATGATATCAGTTCAGCATAGGAATACAAATATGACTCTATCTATCTGGGCGGGCAGGGCGGTATGGGCAAAAACATTTATCAGGATAAATCTTTGATATCGACGTGACTGACGATATAATTCATGCTCCGACAATCAAGCCGCTTCATAGCTTACCGAAGTCCTACTAAAACATTTTATGGCAGATTTTCGAGCGTCTGTTCCACATAAAATCCGTTCGAGGTCAGTAAACACAACCAGAATTCATACATAAGGCGCACAGTTGATATTGGGGGAAATGAAAGGCTTGAGAGCGCCTTATAGTCTGAAAAACACGGTAATAACGACGGCCCGCTTGCATGTTCTGCAAAAAATGTTCTTTGTTGTGTATCCGACGGTCGAAAGCCAAACCAGTTCCACACCACTGAAGCTGCAGCGTTTTTACAAACCAGTTCAGGCTCATCTGTTTCATTCAAAGATCCGCTTTCGCTCTTCTCGTCCTCCGTCGCCGCCGTGCTTTTTCCACCATGTGCGTATGAAACAAAGGCACTGCACGTTTTACCCGTATTCAATCGCGACATTTCATTTTCTTATCTTATATTCGTTTATATTTCTTTTATATACATAAGATGCATGTGTATCCCCTGAACTTGAGTCATTTTGAATATATTTGGCTGAACTCAGTGACTTTTGCACACAAGAGATAAAATCAGTGTCTGAAAACAGGAAGCTGGTTCTAACAGCAGGCTGACCTTCTGGGCCCCACAGGGCTCTTCAGTCCCCTGTACGTGGCTCCATGTCCCTTCAGCTGGTTCGAACAGTAGGGAAGGGCTTTCCAAGGCTCTTTGTGGTATCAAAAAGAACTTCAAAGGTGGTGACTTATTGATCCTGTTGACTGTGAGTCATGGCAGTGTTGACCTGAAACACTCTGCTGCTGCAGATAAAGCAAATAACAGAACGAGGGCTTTTCCTTTTGTGTACACGTAACAGTGCAAACCTTGACAAGTCTTAAATAAAAATGTCTCGAGAAAGCGGTGTCCACACAGCCAATCAGCTGTAACACAACAGAAACATTTACATCAGTCTTTCTAACGGCCTCCTGATTTCAGATTAGACTGGAGATGGTGCCAGTTCAGCTCTTTAAAGTACCTCAAGGATCAATTTGCCAAAGTACAGACCTTATCCTCAGAGGCCTTTCTGTACAGATAGGAAGCTTCTCTTCCTGTACTAGGTGGCCACTGATTTATCTCAGTTTGGCTTAAATCTTCTGTAAGCATAAAGTCTGCTAACACTTCCAAACTGACAACAGACAAATGCACCTTTCTTTTCATGTGCTTACTGTAACTCTGGAGTCTTGGCTGGCCTGTGGAAGTGGAACTCTGTGACTCTTTCAAAGTAAAGACAGAGTCCTTTTGGTCCTTACAAACCACAGTGAGTAGAAGCATCATTTCAAGCCCGTGGATTGAATCTTGGTATCATTTCTACTCAGGTTGGACATGTTACATGTGTTGAACTGGTTTTTAAAGGCTAAGAACATTAATGAACTCCATCCTTTCCCTCAGTGACACAAAGACTGTTAGCACCACAACAATCTCCTCATGATTAGATTGCTGTGACTCGCTGTACTTGGAAATCGTTCACTCACGTTGTCTCGTCTGCATCTGGTGCAGAAGGTTGCTGCAAGAAAGTGATGGGAGTGCAGACTGTGTGTTTTGGATATGTTTTAGTACATCACTCTATATTTTATTTCATACCTTTGTGCAGTTTTCATGTGGAAACACAGCTCCTCCACCCTATCAAATATCTCCCATTTATCTAAAGTTAATTCCTGCCTTCAGAACCAGTTGTTGGGACCCTTCAGTGGAAATACGGGTGAATTAACCAACCTATAACCGATAGATATGATTTTTGTGGCTTTTATTTACCATCAGAAATAGTTGTTTTGTTCTGTTAAACGAAAGCGAACCGTGTGTTTTACGGACCAACAGCCTGGATGTCAGCAGGGCAGACTTGCTGCCTGTAGAGGGAGCCCTTGTGCAGGATTCCCAATAAGGAAGCCCGGAGGTGAAATTGTGCTTCATCAGGCCCGCGGAAAAAAGCGGAAGTTGTGCTAGTTTCCTACAAAATAAAACAAAGCAAAAGAAGTAAAACGGTGGTGCTCAAACGTGACGTGAAATAGTTGGAATAATTGAAATATTGAAAAAACATCAAATTTATTTGATCAAATATGTATCACGAACCGCGTGAACCTTCGTTTAAGAAAAAAAAGAGGGAAAAATCAGGCTGAGATTAGGATTAGTTGGTGTGACGTAAATATCAGACAAACCTCAAATTAAATATTTGCTATTAATTTTGCCAAAAATACCCACGTCACACGAGGACGTGAGAGCGCGGGTCCGAAGTTGGCTTTATTGTGGTTTCACCACCGGAAGTGTGTCCGTGTGCGTGGCCTCGTCTTGACTGTGGTAACTAATCCAAGCGGCAGAGACGAGCGCAGCAGAAGGTCGCGACGTCCAGGACTGAGCCGAGGTTTGCGAGCGGGACCGGGACAGACACGCGGAGACTTCCGCCCACAGGACCTCCCGGCTGCGCTCTCATTTCTTTCCCCGGCGCGACAAGTGGGTCTTTGGGACTCGTGGAGACAGTTTACCGAGCGAGCTTCCAGTTCCCGAGTCGATCACCTCGGCATGGCTTCAACAACCTGCACCAGGTTTACCGACGAGTACCAGCTGTACGAGGAGCTGGGGAAGTGAGTTGGTGACTCTTTGTGTCTCTGAAGTTACTGCTGCTTTCAGTCGCTGCCCACGGAGCCACCTCCGCCTGCCTGACCCCACCTTGAAGGTGCAGTCGGCGCTGTGGGCACTTCACTGTACCTGTAGTCTTACTGTCGGCCAACAGCCGCACACATACTGTAGGATCCGTGTTTGACTCCACGCGGCTGTTTCGGGACTTTATGAACCCGCCCGTCGGTACCGAGCGCGTTAAATAGCTCCGTGTTTTAAGTGCTGAGGAGAAAACAGGCTGAGGACAGCTTCTGTCAAAAACCAGTCGGTGTGTCAAAACTGCAGGAAGTTGGTTTCGTTGGGGTCAGTGGGGTCACTCGTAAACAACGACGTGTTTCTGTCCACAGCCCCGCCCCTCTGTGCAGACGCTTCATGCACCTGAACCCGAGCTGGCTTTGGGGAGCTGTGGTCGATCTCGGCCTGATCTGGGGTCAGCCTGAACGGTCATCACGTCACTGTGGTTCATTCAAATGATTGCTTCACTTAGTTCTTCTGACGCGAACAAAGACTGGAGTTAATGCGGGCCTTCACTGAAGCACCACTGGATGCAAAGTTGTGTGAATGATGTAAACTGGATGCTTTGCCGCTGCTACGACCAGGCGCTTCTTAGAAAGGCCTGTTTGAAGCCTTGTCCAGTTTACATGAGCAGGAAGCAGGTGTGGCTGCTGTGCAGGGATCTGCTGATGCTTCCACCTGTGCTTCAGCTGATGACCTCTGACCCGACCTTTAGTCTGAGCTCTGAGAGGATGTGCATATACTTGCCTGACATCCACCTGATGCTCACCTGTGTTTAGTTTGCAACCCGCAGTCACTTAAACTTCTTCTGGTTAAGCTGTATGTTCAGCTGTCAGTCGCGTACAGGCCTCCCAAATACACTGTGTGTAGCTAGAGCAGCGATTGGTTGAAAAGAGCGACAGTGAACGTCAGCACAGAGAGGAGGAGAAGCGCGAGAAGGCAAACGAAACAAAGACAAATGATTCCAAGCTTTGTAAAAAGCAGACCCTTTCTCCACTTTGCTACAACAAAGTTCTTCATGGATGAGGACTTTGCACAGTTTCATATGCAGAGTTTTACTACGAATGATGTTCAGCACAGTCGAGCTTTGTTTGTGGCGTCTGGCTCAGTGAAGCCCGTCACAGCGCCGGGTGCTAACCCGGGCTTTCTGCTGTAGGGTCACAGAAAAAGCAGCGCTGCCTCGCTCGCTCGCGTTAAACGTGATTAACGTGCACCAACGATGTCGAGGTGGCGACTTCAGGCAGAGCCAGAGAAGTCTGTCTGTGTGCAGCTGTGGACACGGGCAGCTGCACACTTGCTCATTCGTTGCATGTTTCACTCACTTTACTTCACTTGCTGCTGGTTTAGGAACAGAAACAAGAAGCTGAAAATAAGCTGCTTCACAACGATCACTCTGCACGCTGAAAAGGGACGAGTGGGGAGTAAGACAGCCTCTGACTTGTTGCACCGTCGAGTGGTGCGTGTTGTAAAATGGCTCTGGAAACTTTGGACTCGTGACACCGAGACTCGACCGGGACTTCAGATGTAACAGTGCAACAGAAAACACTTTAAATGTCTTTGCACATTATGAGGAGTCTGGTTGTGCAGAGGCTGATCCCTGCTTCTTTGTGTCCTGTAGGGGGGCCTTCTCTGTGGTGAGGCGGTGCATGAAGATCTCCACGGGGCAGGAGTATGCTGCAAAGATAATCAACACCAAGAAGTTGTCTGCTAGAGGTGAGTACATGCTGCTTCAGCCTCTCACTGCAAACATGCAGCGGTGGCTCACTCAGAGGGAATCGCTTCTTTTTAGCCCCGTCACGCCTCAAACCAGCTTCCTCTTTCTTTTTGGCTCTATGGTTTTCATGCCTCTGCCATTTCTGCCAGATGTGCTCGGGTTTCACTGCCTGCAGCTTCAAGTTCACTTTTATTTTCCGTGTTTGTTATTGCTTCGTCACAGTGGCCTTTTCACGACTCGTTCTGCTGTGTGCGCCGGTGATTTGTGAGGGCTTCACATTAAAAACATGATTATAGAGCGTTGCCTCGTGAACTTCACGTGATAGTGTCTGTCCAACCCAGAAGCTTCTCTTTTGTCTTTAAAGTTTTCATCTTCTTACTAACAGAACAAAAACAACTTCATCAGTGTCCGTGCAGCAGGAGCCCAGGCGTCCGCTGCTGTCCAAGCGCTGATCGGCAGAAGCACGGTGCACAAACTGAAGGAGACGGGCTTGAATAGATGGGCCGTGGTGATGGAGAGTGACTGCAGTGCAGCCTCTCAGGAGGGGAGCAGGGGCTTTCCCTGCAGCTAGCAGCTGTGTGGAAAGCAAAGGGTTTGCAAATGTGGTTTTAAAAAGGGAGACTTGCAACAATGAAAGAAAAAGAAAAAGACGCATTTAGCTGCTGAGAGATTAGGAACTCATTTTAAGCCTTGGAGGGGACATCATAACCAATGAGAAGGGAGAGCAGGCACAGTAGATGGTTTGTCTCTGCCCATATGGAAAAGATATAAATCTTATAAAGTTTGTATCTGTCTTGTATGAAAAGCATACAAGAGTGAAAACAGATATAAGATCCCTTGAAAAATTATATAATGAAACTTGTATGTTTTGTATACTTACTAAAAAAATATATGAAAGTACTGAGAAAGTGGCCACTTTCATGAGTGGATCATGTTTTTACTATTTCTTTTCCATATGGGAGGGCTGAGCGACGATGATCTCACATCCCTGATGTCAGACGTTTGTCGTGCTGACAACGATATTCATCACAAAACGTTTGTTTTCTGTAACTTCTGTGAGTCTCGGGCAGCTCGACCTGCATGAAGTGTTTTCAGCTGGGCGTCGTGTAGCTGCAGTCGAGTGGTAGAGGAGTTGGAACGGCCGCGATTTTCTTTGTATGCATTACACGGTGCGGGGCGGCGTGCTGCGGGGCGGCGTGCTGCGGGGCGGCGTGCTGCGGGGCGGCGCGCTGACGGCTCTTTTAGCATCTCGTCCGTAAATACTATTTCACCTGATTCCGTTTATTTTGAAAAATCTCAACAGGATCTTCAGCTTTATTGTGAAAGGTTTATGTGGAAATAAACTAGCGAGCCGTTGCGCTCGCTGTTGCTAACGACAACGCATAACAACAGTCGCTTGTCCGTAGTGTGGTCATTTTAAATATAAGAGGAGAGAGAAGGCTAAGAAATTCTACATGCTAACGATGTAAATATCACCGTAAACGGTTCATTTTGAGACACACGGACATGAATATGAAAGATGGACATCTCACATTCATGTCGGTTATATTGAGCTAGTTTGTCATAAGTCCACGCCGGGCTTATTTAGGCTCAATGAGGAGAAGAAGGTCAGTTGGACAGAGGAGTGTTTATACAAGAATTGCATATAAATCTGATGGGGCTGTTCACGAGGAGAAAAACATCCGTCCTGCTTTTCCATCACTCAGTGTCATGAGGTGAAAATAATCCTAGCTCTTGAGGCAGAGATGCAGATGAGCCCTTTGGGTTGCGCCTTCAGAATAAGTGAAATCCCAAAGAAAGCCGATATGATGCTGCTGTCGTGGTCTTTTGGCCACATCACCACATTGCTCAAACACAGCTCGCTTACGTGTAAGCACCGCGTTCTGGTTTCCAGGTTTGTGGGTTGGTTACCTTCTGATAAATCACAACATTCACAATGACATCTCTTCATTCAAACTGTGAAATCCCTTTAATCTGGCCTGCAGCACTGTAGGATGTCGGCACACAGCCGGAGGACAGACGCTCTGAAAGTCAAACGCATGCAGATGCGGTGGCGTGCTGATCCGACCTGACGGTCTCGTTCAGGGAGAGGCCAGAGTGCCACCAATGCCACGGCTGCTTTGTGAGGAGAAGTCCTAAACCTGAGAGTTCTTCTGTGTCTGCAAACATCACATCAGCAGAAGTTCTAGTGAAGGAACACGTGGTTGCAGAGTGCTGCAGCTGAGCTTGGAAGGCTTTCTGATAGATCTCACTGAGAATCTACACGTCTGTGGTGGGGACTGTTCTGCATGCTAGTCTGCTGTCACAGTGTGGACACTTCAGTAACATCATAATGAACAGTAATTATGAAACAGGGTTAAACTGATAGACAATGCTGGGAACGCACTGGCAGCAGTGTCGGCCCTGAGCTGCCAGCACGTCAGCAGGGTGAAGCAGCCAAGGCAGGAGGACAGTTTTTAATTTTGATGTTCACACTGGAGATTGTGCAGCTTTGAGTAGCCACCAGACCTGGAGACCCCCCCGGCCTAAGCAACCTGGCACTTGTGAGGCTCAGAGTGCATCGGTTAATTTGAAAAGTCATTACCAGGTTTTGCTAACACGTTAGCAGGTAGCTATTACCAGTAAATGTGTTTGTAGTCTCTAATGACGATCGTGAGTAGTGCAATGACAACAATGCATGTAACCTTTGTGCAGTACTGTCAGATGTTGATGCAACATGCAGTCCCCTCTGGAAATCATTGGTTCATGTGTCACACTGCCAGCGTAGCAGACACACATGTGGACAGAAAAACACTGACCGCAACATCACTGAAGCAGTGCAAGGACTTTACTTTCAGGCTCACTGGGGCTTCAGAAACGGCGATCTTACCTGTTACACCGCACCTAGAAAACGAGGTGGTTGCACAGTGCTGGGTCAGGTGCCACTTTTACTGTGCACACAAGCATTGTGTGAGTTATGAAGTAAACTTGCATATGGAACGTTAAAGCGAGGAGTCATTTGTGCTCTGCTGTCGAGCGCTCCTCCCAGGCTTCCTCGTGTCCGCTGTAAAGCAGGTTTGTTGAACTTGGATGAGCTGTGGGCCCTGCTGGCGCCGTCGTCTCTTTGGACACGTTAGTGTTCAAGTGGTACAAAAAAACAAAACACCCACAAATGTTTCCTAAAATTTAATTTCAAGTATCGTAGAACAAGACGAGCTGCAAACGCGACCACAGATCTTTCATTGAACCACCAAATAAACACACCGGTCCTCTGTGTGCACGCGTGGCAGCACGAACTGTGATTGCATTTAACAAAATAAAAGCGCAGTACTGCACTAACACAGCCGATCCCTCAGCATCTGTGCACTCTGCTGTTTCCTCGGTCAGGTCGGCGGCCCTGGACCGTGATGAAGGTTGCTCTGGCTAATCCGTCGGGCTCCGTGTTGGGCCCGTAGCCGGTAACTGTCAGAGAGGCGTGGAAAGGCTCCACCAGAGCTTTAGAGTGTGGGAGGGGAACACGGCGCACAGTCTGGGCGGCTTGCTTACAGCCGGGCTCGTCAGGCTGCAGCTGTTGTTGTTGTTATATTTACATGCTTTCATCTTCCGTTTCTTGTCGGTAGAAACTCGTACTTTCTCTCTGCCTCGCGCTCAAACACACACAGTGGGAGGGGCAGTCCCACACTCTCTGCAGCACAGACTACATGAGGCTACATGCCTCAGTCAGTGCAGTCAACAACAAACAAATCCTCCCTTCACAGGTCAATTCACAGGTTATAGTTCGTCACGTCAGTGTAAGTGGTCCCCGGGCCGCCAGTTTGACACCCCTGCATTCTAACCGGCTCTTCAAAATAAAAGCATAATACTGGAAGAATCCCGAACATAACTCCAACAGCCAGATGTAGTGAAGTGGAAGTCTTCACTGACGGCAGCCTTGTATGAAGGACAAAGTCAGACCCAGTGATGCTTGGACTCACCGGAGTGGAAGTGATCACTTGAAGACCCACCGGCTGTGGGAAAGCTCTGGTTCAGGAGCCCTTTGTTGTTGCTTCTGGAAAATACCCGAGGCCCAGCCGCTCGATGTGAACTCTTCATCCCCATGGAAACACAACGAGATGGGAAGCTAAATATAGTCTGCGGGGTCATGTAGGTGTTGAAGTATATTAGAGTGTTTGTGCTGTTGATTGTGATCAGCGCTCAGACACAGCGTCACACAAGCACTCCTAACACTCCGAAACCCACGAGCCGTGACCCCTGACCCCTCAGTCCTGGTTTTATAGGGTCGCATCAGTAAAGTGCTCCGTCAGAGGTGTGTGTGTGCATTCAATGTCACAGGCTTAACACAGCAGCCTTCCTAAGGCCACACATGAAAGAGGTGGATAAAGAGAGACGTAGTGCGTTACAAAAGGAAGATGCTGTAACACAAAGCAGAGCCTCGTGCAGCGTGTACAGCTCTACACGACGTGGTCTCATTGTGTCCACGGCTCCTTCAGGTCCTGACTGACCCACATGGTCTAGGACTTGAATGACCAGTGAGCTGTTCGTGTGACAGAAGTGATGACTCGGTATCCCTAAGTGCACGTCCTCGTGTCTCTGCCATCACTTAGACAGCTTCTCATGCCGAGGGCGCCCGCCGCCTGCAGACTGCAAGCTGCACTTCATGCATCCTACAAACAGGCAACGAGAGACCAGGTTCAGGAGGTTCTGTGGTTACTTGTGAATCTGTGCAGAGCTCAGGCTGCTGGTCTCAGAATCCTGTGTGTGTCCATGTGTTTAACAGGCGGTGTAGTTGGACTCTGCATGCCCACCAAGCTTTCTGGAAGCAAGAACAATCAGATATGTGAAGCTGAACGTTTGTTCACACATTAGTTTATGATGCTTTGCATGTGGATGGAAATGGTCCTGGTATGATTCATCCACCAGAACTTAAGTCACATTTTGTAGAAGAACAGTTGAAACCTCGAAACAATAAAAGGTGAAACGCATAGAAAGCTGTCAACATTCATGTAGGGGTGGGGGTTCC